TTGGGGGGGGGGGTGTAGGGTTTAGGGCCGTTTAGGATTTTAGGATTTAGGGTTTAGGGTTGCCTGCAACTACGACGCTCCGAACCCAACCCCTACACTGAGACATACATACACACAAAGAGACACCCTAAAGCCCTCAGAGACACCCTAAAGCCCTCAACCCTACACCCCTAAACCCCTGAAGAACCTGGGCGGCGGCGTAGCTCTGCGGATCTTGCAGATTTGCCTTGCCAGAGTTTCTTTCATTGACCTGTGGGGTCGTGATTTCCTTGTCTACTTGCAAGGAGGTATTTCAAGACCTTGCTGTTAATACACTGATTACCATCGGTGGCTACCGGCGCTACTTGTTCGACACCCTGCCGTGCTCTGTTGTGACTCTGCTGATTCTAGTGATTCTAGTGCTGCGATGACCGTATGTTTAGTGCTGTTGCCGCTGCCCCGCCGTTGCTCATCCACCTTCTCCTACTCCTCCTTCCTCTACTCCTCTGGTTGATTGTCTTCTTCCAACACTTCTTATTGCCATTCTTGCTGCGCACACGCGTCATGGTTGCTCTTCCATCCATCACTTGTCCAAACCAGGATCTTCCTAATTTGTCGTCGCAGAACGATGCTTTTCAATAGTCTCGAGCTGAGAACGATAACCCAGGGTGCTTTCGCGATCATTGTAATCATACCGACTCTGGTGAACATGAGGACAATGACGGTGCTGTTTGTGAAGCCATCAAGTAGGCTAGAACTCTGCAACATGACCTCAGTCAAGAGACCATGACACCTGAATGCAGCTTCCAGCCAATGCCAAGTAGACTTGAGTTGCTGTGCAGAGAAGACTTGCAACATGCTCAGAAGCCCAAAGGGCTGTGCACGGTAGAAATGCTGGGGCCACGGCTGCACGATGGAGGCGGGCATCTGGCTCAACCCGCTGGGGCCTGTCAAAAGAAGACCAGAGAAGGCCTCTCCTGGTCTACCCGCCCTTAGTGATAAGGGAAGATAGCTAGGGTGCTCAAGAGAATAGAGTCAAACCTACAATAACAGCAGAACAATGACTCTCTTGCTGTTGTCACCAACACCATCATAACCACACTCAGCATCATCATAACAATGGTCGGGGCCATGACGGTGTTTCGACAAATTCCCAAGAGCCATGCGTCATCGTTGCTATCGCCATCGCCATCTCCGCCGCCATGGTCAACAACGAAATCATCAACAGCCTCACCATCGTCACCATCATCATCGCCATGGTGACCAGTATCACCGACACACTCGCCGTCCCACCTGTACTAGTTGCTAGTACTAATAACTACTGCCATGGCTACTGCTACTCCGATTCTGACTCTAACTCCAACCGCGACTCCTACCCCCCTCCCCGCTGCCAGTTCTCTAATCACAAAACTGAATCCCCGCTTTGAGCCACCGACCCAAACTCCTCACACCACGAGCGACTAACCCGAAGAATCCACATGCAGTAGGTTCCTCCCTAATCCTCAAACCAAAACCTTATCATCAAGAGCCCCCAACCTGGAGGCTTCTTGGAGGCCCTTGTGAATTCAACCTCCGCGATTGAAAAAGACAACAACACATCTGAGCATTTGTTCCATCAGGCTTGACAATGGAACCCTCAAATCATGTCAACGATAACCCTAATGGCCCTAAATCCATCCTAAACCCTAAACCCTAAACCCTAAACCCTAAACCCTAAACCCTAAAACCCTAAACCCTAAACCCAAAACCCCTAAATCCATGCCTCGCGGGCACATCTTGGGGCTCCCCACCGCGAGCTTGACGCCTCCTCACATCGTCCGCAGGGTTTTAGGGTTTAGGGTTTAGGGTTTAGGGTTTTAGCGTAGCATGTGCAGTAAAACACGTGCCACAAGGAACCGGCACGGGCACGGGTAGGTTAGAGGTCTGGTATTCTTGCACTCGGGCATTGTTGCTGCAACTGACACTACGCCCTAAACCCCAAAGTCTCTCGGGCTTGAGGCACTGGCCTTAGGTTCAAAGTTACGGGGACTCCAAGATCTCGAAAATTACTCGATGGCGAGCTTGATTTAGAGACCTGATCCTTTGCCAGTGGAACGCAGGTTCTTCGGAGAACAAGTGCTTGGAGGTTCATGGGTAGATATAAGTAGGGTTGTAAGTAGGGTAAAAACTTATAACCCTACTAAGGGCCTTATTTGACTTGTAACCCCACTTATAACTACCCATGAACCTTAAGTAAGGGGGCTTTATGTGCACAGAAACACGCTTACACATCTTGTGTGCGCACCCCCGTTTCTGTACCGAAGCACACCTCGCCTGAGAGTATCGAATCGAATCTTCAGAGAACGGCTTGTGGGTACACATTACGGAACTTTCATAAGGGTCATCCAGGGGCCCTCGAAGGGTATGGCAACTGGCAGTGGAAACGAAAAATGAAGCTAAGAACAAAAGACTACTTGGAGGCCCAGGGGAGACACTAAGTATTTTAAAAGTAGAGTTATAAGTACCCCAACTGGAGTTACCCCGATTATAACCTTGCTTATAACCTACTTACTAAGTCCCCTGGGCCCAAGTAGGCTTTTTGCACAACACATCATAGCCATGACCCTTCTTACTAAGGCTCAGATCTAGGAGCAAAACCGTGGGATTCAGGCATGTTGTTGCGCCCGAGCTCTGAAAGCACTAACATCCCTGACCTACAACATGTGCCACCGCTCCTACTAAGAAAGGCAACTAGTACCCATAATTTTGTTTGGCACCGCTCCTGATAAGAAAGGCAACTAGTACCTGCTACTACGACGAAAACTACGACTACGACGATGACAACAACAACAACAGCAACAACAACGACAACAAGTACTACTACCAAGACTCATGATACCAGATTTGATCCCAGCATACAATCCCATAAATTTGATTGTATCGTCCCCTTAACCCTAAACCCTTTACCCATTATAAGCATGATACTACAATTATTGGTGGGCAGAGACAGAACTGTGCCCTCGGTTCACTCCTGAGGTTCTCCGCTAACCGGGCTTCTCGTTGCTCCTGGCCGCAGACCGTGTGGGAATAGACGGCGAAAGCTAATGAGCTAATGTAGGGGCCCTAATAATTAGAACAGGGTTTTGCGGCCCAATATACTATAGTTCCAATAAGGAGCCCCCCCGAAATAGATCCCCTATATTAGGTTTTTTAAGGTTTAGGCTTGAGGCTCAGGCTTCGGGCGTAGGAATTTGGGACATTGGGTGTAGGGTTTTCGGGATTACGCTTGGGGAGTTCAGGCTGTGGGGTTTAGGGTTTAGGGTTTAGGGTTTAGGGTTTGGGGATTAAGGTTTTCGGCAGTTGCAGGGGTCCAGGATTTCAATGATGGGCTGTTAAAGCTTTCTTTATAGTGAACCTGGTACTCGTGCAAAACTTTGAGTTCAGCTGTGCCTGAGGGAGTGTAGTAGCCTAAAACCTGTTTCCAAGTACTTCCTAGGTTCTGTGGTATTGAGGTTACTGTAAGGGTTCGCGGGTTGTTGTTTCGGGTTGGAGGGCTTATAGCCCTAAGGGTCCAAGTAGCCAAAGAGTAGGGTTTCAAGGTCCAAAAACCATTCAGAGTATGGACTTTGGGACCTAAAACCTTACTATTTGGGTACTTGGACCCTTAGGATAGGGTTCCACTTAAGAACTGATGTGGTCGAAATGCGGTGCGTGGGCAGACAGAATCCGGCAGCACGCCAACCCTAGACCCTAAACCCTAAACCCCTAAAGCACTAAACCCTAAACCCCTAAAGCACTAAACCCTAAACCCCTAAACCCTAAACCCTAAACCACTAAACCCTAAACAGTCGGCCGACATTAGCACTCGCCTTGGCCTTTGCCTAGTATGCTTGGAGAGTCGGGGGACTGTGGGTAATAAGCTGACTTAGTTGCACCCTAATAGGGATCCTAAATGGGGTTAGGATGCTTATAACTCTGCAAAATAGCTACTTACTAAGCCCCCCGACCCTCCAAAGTAGGGGCCTTCACAGTCAGCTTAGGGTTTAGGGTTTAGGGTTTGGGGTTTAGGGTTTAGGATTCATATAGGGGCCTTAATCATTAGCTTGGGGTTAGGGTTAATGTAGGGGCCTTAATAAGTAGGTTAAGGTTTAGGGTTTAGGGTTAAAAAAATGGGACTTACTCATTAGCTTAGGGCTTAGGGCTAATATAGGGGGCCTTAATAAGTAGCTTAGGGTTTAGGGTTTAGGGTTAATGTAGGGGCCTTAATCATGAGCTTAGGCTTTAGGGTCTAGGGTTAACATAGGGGCCTTAATAATTAGAATCGAGTTTAGGTTTTAGGATTACATAATATAGGGGCCTTAATCATAAGCTTTGGGTTAAGGGCCTTAACAATTAGAATAAGGTTTAGGGTTCATATAAGGGCCTTAATAATTAGAATAGGGTGTCGGGATATACTATACCATGATTATAATAAGGAGCCCCCAAAATAGTATAGGTAATTATTGAAGCCTCTACTATATTGCCAAGTCGAATTAATATACCCACCCAGTCGCGACACATCCTTCAGTGTCATACAGTACCTTTGCATATATGTGTGGACACACATCTATAAATACATATATACATATATACATGTATACATGTTTCTGTATTTCATAAGTCACTTATTTGTTGTTTCATTTTCCACTTACCAATTGTCAATGCATGCTTATGTAGGCGAGTCTCTTAATCCTTGCCGGGCTCAGGCACAAGCACAACCTCTGACCCGTGACAAGCTTCTTGTTAGCAGTCCTGCTATCATCTTGTGCTGGCTGGCCTTGCGGTTGCAAAAAAGCTTACTTCCCGAATAAGATAAGGAAATAAAAGGTTAAACTTTCAGATTAGTACTCAATTATAAGAACCCAAAAAGTTTAAAGGTTGGGTATTGGAGAGCTAAGAAACGTGGATTGTGGTTGTGGTTGGTTGTGGTTGTGGCTTTTGTCGTTGTTGCTAACCTGAAAACCGCAGAAGCAACAACCCCATCCCGTCCTCCTAAACCCTAAACCCTAAACCCGAAAACCTAGAGCCCTAAACCCTGAAACCTCTAAACCTTAAAATCGGCCCTCAACAATTAGAATAGGGTTTTGATCCCCCTTAAAGTAAATTATATTAAGGATCCCAGAGGAACGATAACTCTAATTGTGTAGGATTTTAGGCTTCTATATTTCACCTAAGCCCTAAACCCTGATTACTTAGGACTTACGCTCGTATATTATCCCCCAAGCCCTAAACCCGAATTATTGAGAGTTTTTTGTATTACCCTAAACCCTAAACCCTAAATACCCCAACTCCGTCCTTCTTCAGCCTCTGCTGCTGCGCTGCCCAGCCCTCCCCCTCGGCCGCGGGCTTCTCAGCCCTTGCCTTGGCCTGGACTCCTCTCGTCGGAAAGGTTCGGTTCTTAGGGCTTTAGGCTTTTTAGCGTTTAGGGGTTAGGGGTTTAGGGTTTAGGGTTTTAGGCTTTTAAGACTTTGGGGGTTAGGGGTTTAGGGTTTAGGGTTTCAGGCTTTTAGGACTTTATGGTTTAGGGGTTTAGGGTTTTAGGCTTCAAGACTTTAAGTTTTAGGGGGTAAAGTTCAGCGCTAGGCTTGTAATTAGGACTTTAGGGTCTTAGACATGAGAAGCTTTAGAGCTTTGGGGTTTTACGGCTTCCATTATTTTTATTGCTATTACAATTTTATTGTTTGATCATTGTTAGCAGTAAGCGCAGGCTTTTCCTGATTTGAAGGCTCCTGTTTGAGGACCTAAAGCCGTAATCCCCAATATGTAGACACTCACATGCAAAAAAAGCGTGAACTGTGACAAATGCTGGTACCTATTCAAATCTCCATACTTATATGGGGGTGGTGAGGAGGCCGCATCAGCATGTAGGGCTTTGCTCCTGGCTTCATCTGGTAGCGTTTTCCGAGACTTGCAGAATCCAGTTTAGGCTTAGGGGCGGTATACGGTTTGTGCGATGACGCAACCCTACTTGGAGGCCCAGGGAACTTAGTAAGTCGGTTAAAAGTAGTAGGGTTATAATTGGGGTAACTCCAGTTAGGGTACTTATAACTCTACTTATAACCTACTTACTAAGTCCCCTGGGCCACCAAGTAAACCCAAAACCGGCTACAGATCCGGTGTTCAAGGGAGCTGTCGTCCGAAACATGAAATCCCAACCGTTCACCCCTACACCTCTAGACTTAAAACTGAAAGCATCTTCACGATCCGATACTGTAAGTAAAGGAAACTACAGGTGGGGAGTTTAGGGTTTCTAGGGCTTCTATAACGCTTCCATAAGGTATATAGACCTTCTATAAGGCTTCTATAACGGTAACTACCCACCGGAAAATGTCCGAGACTAGACAGACAGAACAAGGATTGTGTGGACAATGGTGTTCGGACCGTTTCCGCCTGATCTCCTTTTCGTCTGATGCCTTGAACCCACTCTTAAGCCAACTTAACCCATAACCCTGCCTAAACCCTAAACCCTAAACCCTAGGTGGGCACACCGAGCCTTGCCAATCCCTCATCCTAAACCTCAAGCCCGAAACCCTAAACGGCTAAACCCCGAACTCCTAAACCCTCAACCCCTAAGCACCTAAACTCTGAATCCTAAACCGCTAAACCCTACCCCCGAAACTATAAAGCTCCTTGCCGTGCCGGGGCCGGCGGGGCAGCAGGTGCAGTTCTGTTGGCCGTGGTCTCCCGAAACGGCCGAGGGCCGCTTGTTGCAGCCTTCTGAGGTGCTGGGCTCGTGGTGGCCTCTGGGGGCATCTTGGTGGCGGTTGTGCCGGAAACTGTGGCTTTAGGATAGGGCGGCGTTCGAGTGACGGGGGTGGGGCTGGGTTGTGGCTTATGTGTGATGGGCGCGGTTGTCGTGGCTGGTTGTGGAGGGGCGTGGGCAGCATAGACCTCTGGCGAGGCGTACGGGTCGATCAAGGGCGTCGACAGGTTCTGGGGTGGGGGTGGTGGCTTTGGGAGATTTGCTTCAGCAGCGCGCTCGCGATGCCACTCCAGCTCTTTCTCACTCAGCATCCGGTGGTTCTCATCCAGAGCCTGCCGAAAGGCTGCAGACACAAGGGCTCGTCTCATTAAACTGAAGTCTGCACGTGCCCTTGACCTCTACTCCGACAAGGCGACAGCCGTCGTGTGTACCACCGTCGAATTGTCAACGACGCTGGTCTTTTCCTAGGCTCTCGGAGCTATTGACCAGCTCACGACATCATTAATGCGGGGGCCTCAACGATTAGAATAGGGTTTGGAGCTCCATTATAGTATAGTTATGACAAGGAACCCCCCAAATAATGCAGGTAATTCGTAAAGGCCCCTACACTATAGCAAAGGGTCCTGAAGCTCTCGCCGGCCTGAGCACCCCTGCACTCCAAACCCTCCATGTTTGAAAGCCCAGATCGTAAATAAACCCCCGCGCCCTAACACCGAGCCTAAACCTCTCAACCCTAAACCCTAAACCCTCTGAGCCCCAAAGGCATAATCTTGGAGGGCCCAAGATGGGAAACCAAACTCCCCACGCAAGTTCCTGTTGTGGAGTCCAGGACGACCATTGGAACTCCTGTGGCTGATGCGCATGCTCCAAATTATCAGAAAGCCTTAGGCTTATAATTCAGGGTTTCGGGTTTATGGTAGGGTTTTTGTAAAACCCTGGTAATGTAGGGGCCTTAATAGTTAGACTAGGGTTTTGGG